TTCACTTCAGAAGCCTAAAATCTTCATTTCTCCCTCAGCTTCCGGACATGGAGAGTTTATATTCTGATTTTGGAAAAAATTCAGCTCTGTAGCGAATGTGGCCAATTCCGACATTTGTTTTGACACCACGAATCACGATGGATGCCGCCTACTTTTCGAAGGCAATACCTAGCTATTTGTTGAAGTTATCATGGATTTCACCAATTTGGTTATTAGAAAAATTCTGAAGTGAGCCATGAAGCCGGGCTGCAAAGCGGGTAAGCTGTATTTATGACGAAATCTGCTCCAGTGGTTCAATTTTGGTGTAGGCGAAAAATCGCGAATGCTCGTACATGTGCTGATTCAAACGGTCATAACTTTTGAAAAATCGAAAACGTACAGGGGTTTTTGCATATTTTTGCCTATAAAGGTCTAAACTTAACGGCTGTGTAGGATAGAATCATCAAGCAGGTCCCAAATCCCAAAACTTAGCGGCTAAATCAAGGTTATTTACGGTCATCGGCCGATGGCGATTTCTAGTGGTCAGAATATGCTAAAATTCGCCTTTTCAACTATGTTGAGAGGGCAAATTCTAACTTTCTTGGCAAACTAGAAAGGTTTTTAAGCAATCTGATATAAATTCTGTGGCTTAACTATGCGAATCAAATATTTTACAACGTTACAAAATATGCCTATTTTTCAATTTTCGAGACGTTGCGACGGTCCCTACGGACTGGGAAATAATTATGGCCCGTAATGCAGTCAGAAAATTATTTCGAATCAAACCAAATCTAATTTATTTCTTTCCTAGGTAAAGTCTTTCTGTTAACAGAGTTTCAGGCAAAATTATTTTTGACACAAAACTGACCGGGTGGAAATAAGAGAGACAGCCTCTTAATTGAGTACAAGCTCATTATTAGTCGTGTTTGACTGGTTTTTAGACTTAATAGTCCTACATCGCATGGTTAATAATCGCATCTGATAGCAAATGCCCTTATGTATCGTGAGGAAATGTACTCTTCAAAGAAAGTTCAAGCTCAACTCAGCTCAGATAATTTCTGGCAGGGTTCTATTAAATTGAAGTTTAATGGAGAAGAAATACAAACAAACAGCCAAATAAGTCAAGTATGTCAAATTTTTCCTAATAACGGCTTCTTGTGAAGCTGGATGTAAGTTTACGAGCAAGCGACAGGTGAAAACGGCAGTGGTGAAGAGTACCAGAGATTGAATATGATAAAATTATTTTGTGCTTGGATAACTTGCATCCCTGCAGTAGTAGTCTTGGAAATACAGAATTGGAAATTGCAAGGCTTAATCCTTTGAAAGGAAGAAAAAGGCAATGTTTCATTGATATCCTCTCCTCGTTTTGTTTTGGAGATACGTAATCCTAGAAAAAAATGCACTGCATTAATGTTTGCGAAGGAGAGAGAAATATTTAAGTCGCTGCTAAATTTCTCCACACCAGACTCTTTCCAAAACTAGTGTCTTTCTGAAATGGATTCTTCAAGGGCAATAGTGAGAATAATCAATGGAAATGGAAAAACCATATTCAAATTTTTTTGTGAAAACATATTCTAGAGTTTGCAATGTCATGCTGATTCAGTGAGATGTTTTGTGATGGCGATATTTATTTAATGGAAAAATATAGTTGTTTTTAACCTGCAACTGATTGCAAGCAACAACAAGAACGGCTTTCCTTCATTTCTTTCAAAAAAAAATAGCTGCTATACTCTTTCATTCAAAAAGTTTAATAACTATTAAAAATATCTGACAACAGTGCATGACTGTTGACTCCTTTCATCACTACGAATGTTTAGATATGAATTATTTAGATCAGATTACACATTGTCACATGGGTTATCATGTTTTCTGAAACCTCTTTAATTGATGAGTTTGAGCCTAAACATGCTAGAAACATTCACAGAGATTTTGAGAGTATACTCCAGTTAATCACAATAACCAAATTGACACTTTAAGTTGGCTCTTTCCTAACCATGCGAAAATCATGTTTTTGCAAGAAAAAGTTAAAAAGCTTTTCAGCTGACAATTGTCTGCAAGGGTCAGATTTATCTTTAATATTATTGTATAACTTCGTACCTTTGTTTCTCACTAGTCTCTAGAGCAGTAGTTATGAACACCACATGTAGATTTCACCAGCTCTCTTGTGAATTTAATCTGCAATGCTTCTTCTGTTTTCTGTCAATCTCCTCAAAAAAAATCAGTAGTCTGTCAACTCATGTATCCCATCACCATTTCTGTTATCTTCAACCACAATTTTACGTCCCTAAAGTCTCCATAATCATGAATGTGGTAAACACACCTTAGAGATCGAACACGTTGCCAGAAGAAATAGCTTCTGTGGTGATCAATTGCAAAGCTTGCTGTCAAACCTTGACCAATCACAGTGTACATTTTGCTTTCTACCTAAACCATGTTTAAAATATGAGAAGCGATGGACGATACTCCTCATTCATGCTTATTACCCGTTAGGCACTCCATGTGACATGTCGTGGACTAGTGCATGGAAGTAAGTGTCAATCAGTATTCTGACCTTGAACGATGCTGAATATTTTAAGAGTCATTGTCAGAGAAAACCAGGCAGGCGTGAAAGATGAGGGTTGGCCGTTTTACCTCAAATTTTCACCATTGAATACTTTTCCAAAATGATAAAGAAGGATGGTACTTAGGGATTTCCCTGGTTTGACCACCCCCCCCCCCTAGTTTTGGACTTCACAGACCCTGAAGCCATGCTAAATATATCCCAAGGTTGAGGCTGAACAAAACACATTTCGCATCCTTTCTGGGAACTTGTGTAAGTTGTTTGTGTTGTTTACAGGCTAAATTACATTCTTGAAAAAAAATGCGCCAACTTAAAATAAAAGTGAATTTTTCTATGAATTTCAAAATTTTGTCCCACGCGCAAAGATTTCGTGTGCTAATTTTGACGTAATTTGAGAGAGCGACTTTTTTCAGAGGTGTGGCATTTTCTCTGTACAATTTCATGATACTTTGCAAGTCTAATGTCATTACTACCAACATCAATGAACTCTAACTTGAACTGTTAAAATGAGTTTCTGTCAGCCATGCTAAATGTCACCGGTGCAGCAGTGTTGTTCCCGGCAACATTTCTAAGCCATTTCCTCATTGAACATCTCTTAACTATCACAATATCTTACCATATTGTAGCTCATTACCATTACAATGCTGTTCGCGATTTAAACACAACAGAATAAGTACCTCACACATTCTAAAATCAAATAAATTGCAATATCGGAAGCAGTAGCCCACTTTTCCGGAAAAATTATAGGCTTATTTCCTTACAATAAAAAGGTCAACCTTGGCTAAAATCTAGTATTTTTATTTAGAGAGAATTATCTTAAACAATTACGGTGATTTACCCTCAAAAGACTGCCTATCTTATTCGAAATAATCAAGAACGGAGAGGATATCGACAACGTTTACGTTGCAAGATAACAACAAGGTTTCATATTTCGTGATGTCACGCAAGGTGCATTTGTTGGTGCAACACCACTAGCAAAGTAGTAATTTACAAATTTACAAATTCCCTGCAGAAATATTTACTATATCTATAAGTGTGAAAGCGCGAAAGGTTTGAGAGAACTTAGGCGGACTTCATTCTGAATCGGAAAAGACTAATATAAAATATTTTGTTTCTCCAAAACTTAAGGTTACCGTATACCTTAGAGAAGTCTCGCGCCCAAGCGATGTAGTGTGTCTGGTTTAAATCGTAGATACCTAACCTCATATCAAACCGTACCAAGAACTTGCGAAAAAATGAATTGTCGAATTTTTCACGACCTCTAAATGCGAGCGTCCGAATCACCTTTTCAAAGCTACAAGTCAAAGCGAATTTTGTCTTTCACTAATTTACTTTGTTCCTCAGTTGCCAGACCCAAAGCACTAAAAATGCGCGTCTTCATTTTACACAGTCAATTACAGTAAAAAGGTACAGAACATTTTCAAAATAGTATCTATAGATTGTGGAGTCATCGTACAAAAATTGCACCCAGAGAAAAAAGTTATTTCAAGATTAAAAATTCGCAGACAGGCTTTTGTTGTTTGTGTGTTAAACTTGCTACTGTCCAAATGTGTGGGCAAACGAACAAATTCCCTTTGACGTTTAGTTCTTAGTGTCCCTTTAAAGTCAAAAAAATTAATAAGAGAAAACAGCACTTAGAATGCCGATCAAAAGAGAAACTTTTATGTAAGGCTAAAACGTAAAACTGCCATGTCTCCGCCAATCTTCACAGTCTTTTTCACTTTTTTTTTTTAATTAAAGATCGCCGACCTGAAGGTATACAGTAACCTTAAAAATAGCCGGTTCCATAGTTCCTGTTAAAACAACTAGGGAACCAGCCACTTAGAATAATTCAGTCGTGAAAACATTGGCAAGGCATTACATAGTTTTCTATGCAAGTGGTGAAGCTTTCCTTTTGCCTTAGGCTGCCAGAAGGTTCAATGTTCAAATGGTCACAGATTGATTGGAGATCCACAATCTTTAATGAACCCAGCTTCTTGTCATGGACAAGATGGCATATGTTTCTTGTGCCTACAACAATTGGATGCTGAGGGGAAGCCACTTGCTGCATTACTTCGTTTCATAGAGAGGCCAGTGAAACCTCCAACTCTTCGGCAGTGATATCCTCTTCGTCTACTTGTTTCTGTGCTGCCACCAGGCGGGAGAATAGCTGGCTGATCTGTTGGGGAGTCTTCCATTCATCTGGCTGGAACAGGAGCTGACCAACACCATCTTTCTCTAATTGCATTTGCTTGCTGATCTGAACAGGATCGGCCTTGTGTCCGATCCGGCTTCTCTGCTCAAATATATCCATGAGGTAAGTTTTAGACTTATCGGTCATTCTCGATGGCTTCTTCACACTCTTTAGGGCCCATCCTTGTACCTTGCCATCTTTCCTGGTACTGGACAGTCGTTGTGACTCTTGGTCGATGTCACTGACTGCAGCCTTCTGGCGATTACCAGCCGCTGTAGCTCCTGTAACTCAGGTTGCCCATTTCTTACATATGGTGTCATATAATGACTCTGATTCAAGTTCATTCTTGTGTTTTCCAGTGTCCATGTGCGCATCTGCTTCCTGTTGTGACCTGAAAGTCAGCACACAGCCACGTTCTTGACAGGAATATATGTCAGCGCTCGTTTTTGAGCTTCCTCCCACAATGACTTTCTCTTTTGTCAGTTCTCCAAACGGCACAATTACCTTCAGGTTGGTGTCTGATTGAGGTGTTACCTGAAGGTCACAATATTTCAGTAGACAACCTGGCCCAATGTCATATGCTCGCCTTACGCGAATTCTGCTCTTGTCAGTAGACTGGAAATTATTTAGCAAACTGATGCCCGGTATTTTGTTGTCTTTGACCATATCCTGTGAAACGTCTACTTCCACGACCACAGCTCAACATCCTTTCAGACCTCTGGAACTCGATGGCCAGCTTCATGTCTTTGGCAGTTAGAACATCATGTTTCTCGTTCACCCACCTTTTGATGTAAGCCTTCATTGGAGCAGTCTTACGGTCACATATATTCTTTGGGTCAGAGAAGTTGTAGCGTATGACTTTTATACCAGAGCGCACACTGATCTCCGGAAGGCTGAGAAGAAGTGCTCCATTTTTGTAACAGCCAGTATTATCGGAGCGTAGGAAGGCTTGGTTGAGCACAGGGTACTCTTTCTTCAGCGTTTTGAGAAGATGCTCGATGATGGATGCTACAGCGAAGCTTTTCTGGGTACACGAGTTAAACAGATGCACAAAGCTTGGAATTTCTCAGCAGTCAATGACTTGGTTATAACAGCACTTACATGCCAACTTCTACCCCGCTTTCCAAAAAACTTGCTCATCTGTTCACGGTAATGATGCGGTAGAAATTTCATGGCCCAGTCCATCACAATCAAACAGTTTTCTTGGTTAAGGTTATCGAGAGTATCTTGCCCCACCTCTTCTTGGTTTACAGAATGTAGAAGGTGTGCCTTCCAAGCGCTAATGTTCTGGACACTCTCTTTGTAATCGAACAACACCCTTGCTTTCTTTTCTTCACTCGCATCAGAATCCTCTAGTTCCTGCAATATCTCTGTAGTCACGCTTTCCAAAGCCTCACACCTTTTGCAGTGGTATACGTGATTGTGGTAGCACTCTCCTTGGAAATCAGTGGAACTCTCGGAGGGATCACTGAGAGCATGCACAGTGCAGTGGTCTCTGCAGTCTTCTTGACGACTAATGTGCACCTTGAAGTCAGTTTTCAGATACCGCTTTGCCTCCTTGAAGGCCTTAATCTTAGCCTCCCCTGATTAACGTCTGGACCCATTTTCTTCAAGTGTATGGACCACACCCCCTAGATTTTGAAATGCCTGGGCACCTGCTGCAGTGAAATTGTCCAGGCCTTGAAGCGACTTTTGCATTGAAGCAGAACAAACATCAAGTATTCTGAAAAGTGAACATTTGCCATCGGGCTCGAATGCTTCTTTCTTGCAGTAGGCAGCGTACTGTTCAATGATACAGGAGGGAATCAGCATTCTTATTACTGCTGGAATGATGATATGCTCGCCAGAGGGGAGTTTCAGATTTTTAGTTCCAAATGCCACATCCTGGAGAAGGTCTGGGCGTGAAATAAAATCAAGAAAGCGGTCAACTTTCGCTGCATCAATTCTGCTATGGAAAATGGGCTGTTCGAGGACAGACTGACCCTTCCCTCTGTGGATCATGTGTTGTCGTGCCTCGTCAATGTGCCATTTGGAATAGCCGGGTATCATTTGCTGGAGTTTGACGTGACTAAAATCATTTGCAAAGAGTGACAAAATCTGTCTTTTTGTCTACCACAATTCCGCCTCGTCATGTGCTTTAACTAATACCTTGATAATTGCATAATTTTTATAAAAATATTTTCGTCTCGAGGAGTCTTCCAGACTTTGATTTTCTACCAGAAGAGAGTCTTGACACAGGCTGTTCCAAATCTCATTTTCCTGTCCCGGACGGATGACAGACAGCGCGGTAGTGATTGCCTCACTAGCCTTTCTTAGGTAGTATTGCTGTTGGGTGTTTGAGATGTCATCCCAGGAGGCATTGAGCGTGGACAACAATGGGCTGTACTGACCACTTGCTATGCTGCTCACAGCTTCATTGAGAGACTTCCTCTTCTATTGCTGGTCTTCGATTTCATCAACCTAGATACTAACTTGCTCATTAGTGCTTTGAGAAGACTGAGATGATATTGTCCAAGTGTCGTCTGGTGGTTCATATGAAGGAAGCGTCATATCTCGATTGCCTTCAAGGCCCTGGTCAGTGAGAAGAAAGGTTAGTCTACAAAATAGGTTACATGAAAATACACAAATAAAGAAGAAAGGAAAGAAAACCGTCTTGTATCTCTGTCTCTTAATACCCTCTCTTATAATAGTAAATATTCAGTAATGCAAAAAGGTGGATGTTTCTGTAAATGTTTCCCTGTTTGGTTGCATAAGAAATATTTATTGCAGAAACAAAATTCACTTCCCGAGAGACAAAAACGTTTCTTAACTTTCTCAGATATATTTTGCTTCCACTGCAAATTTTTCCCGTTTTAGCTCTGCAAGAAGCATTTCAAAAACAACGTTTCTAAAACGTCTCCTTGTCTGTAAGGGGCTTTAGATCAAGGAATTTCTCATTCACTCGTAGACTGTTCTGTTTTTGTGACAGTTCGTTCCATCGTCCTTTCATTTGCTTTTTGCTCATCCATTCCTTCCTATGTATTACCAATAAAATAAGAATAACATTTTTAAATTAGACTAAAGATGACAGAAGATTCTGTTGAAACGTGTTTTAAAAAAACGTTGTGTTGTTTTTTAAAATTGTAACATGTCTGCTACTATCCAGACCTTTTGAAAATAAGAATAAAACTAACTTCTTGTCTAGTGGTACAATGAGAGCATTGCTGCAACGATTCTGAGTGTCAGCCGCTACCAGTATTTGTGCTTCTGATGAAGGACCATGCATATCTTCACTGGATGGCAATTTCTTTGGAGCAAGAAAATAACAAAATATTTGAGTAGCATAGTCTTGTTTCATTATCTTTTGTTTGAGATTAGAGGCTTGTGATTCTCTGACTTGTGTACTTATCAAAGGCTAGTACATTCAAGACCAACCATAAATAGAGCTAGGAAGACGTTAAATGTAATTTAGGTACAGTAGGACCTTGTTATCTTGAAGTTCTAAGGCAAACAGAAATTGTTCGAGATAGCGCTGTTTGAGATAAGAAAACAATTTCTTAGTATCCTGTCCAATGGGACAGTAAATTACATGCATAAGTTGGAATCTGCGCTAGTTCAAACAAAACTGGAACATAACGAACTCCTGTATTGTCTCTCGTATAGTACAGCTGCACTAATTAGATAGAGTGGTTCTGGAAATTAGGTTATCGTAAAGGGAAAGGAGATGCTGATGGAGATGGGATACAAGGTGTACAGTTTCGATTTATTGAACTTCAAAGACAATCAAAAAAAGGAACAATGAAGAACTATTCAGACTGAGGCACTTTGTAAGACAAGAGCAGGAGCATTATGGGCCTTATGACCATCTAGTTCCAGATAAGCAAGTTTGAGATAGCGGGTCCTACTGTCTATGCCCCGGATTCCCTAATATAATAGTCCGTTTGGCTGTTTTAAGTAGAAAACCATACCTGTTCCACCATTTCCTTGTTTTGCTTCTCTTTTGTCATGCGTGTTGTGTAATGTTCTTTTCGGTAACCCCAACAAATTGCTAAAGTTGAGAAATATTAAAACATAGTTTTTAACAATTGTGTTATCAGAGGAGCGTAGCTGAGTTCGCAACTAAATATCCATCACTAAAGGACGCAATACAACAAAGAATGCTCCCCAAATACTAAAACAAACCCGTTTTCAACACAACTTTACACACAGCACCCACACGAAGATGCTCAGAAGCAGATAAACAGAGCTTGTGACGAATATGGTAGACACAATGAAGACTAGCTCGACAATATTGACTTGCCCACTCATACAACGACAGCGAACCCGAACTAGCCAACTTTGCTCTCTATTTTGTAGGAAATGTATGGACTTTACAAAAGAAAATTTGTACCTTCTGCTTTTAAAATATCATATGTTGGAGATGCATGTAAAACTGTTGTCTGATTTTCTGTGTTTAGTCTAAATTCCACAGAGTTAAAAGCTTTTTTTAACTTTAAACAAGTTACAGAAAAGATGTTTAATTTGCTCTCTGTGATAGGAGTTAAGCGACAGTAACTGAATAATGACTGCAAGATTTGTCTCTTAATAGGGTTACAGTAATATGATTAGCTTTGGCTTTTTAAAGGGTTGAACTGTTGAACGATTAAATTCCAAGTTTCCCCTAAATGTCTTTACAACTAGTTTTGTTAGTCTTTGAAAAGTTTTGTTTAGTTTTTTGTGATTGGACAAGCTTGAACAGCAAGCTTTGCAATTGGTCACCATGCATGCTTTCTGTTCTGGCAATGTGTTCGATCTGCAAGGTATCCCATCCACACTAACAAGTGCAGAGAATTTAGGGACGTAAAAATGTGTATGAAGGACACTAAACATAGAAATGGGGTATTAGCAACTCATAAGTAGACAGATTACTGGTTATTACTGAGGCTATTAACTGAATGTGGGTTTGTTTGACAAAAAATCGGAGGAAGAAGCGTCACACAAGATAGCTGGTGAAATCTACCCGTGGTGCTCATACCCGCTCCATGAGAGGCTAGCGTAAAACAAAGGTATGAAACTATATGATATAAGTAGCATATATGATATAACTAGTAGGGGAAATTCCCCTTGGTCTGTTTTCCAGTAACTGCAGACTTAAATTCCACTGAAACTGAGAGAGATATAAAAAATTATTAAATGAAATAGCCACGATGGAATAATAATCACGTCACTTCAAGTGGTGTGCAAAATTACAGGTGATAATAAGAAATTGACCATGAACATAAAGCTTGTCTTCACAAACAGTCGTCAGCTGAAAAGCTTTTTTACAGTGAAAATCGAATTTTCGCCCAGTAGGGAAGAGGTAAGTCGAAGAGTTTTCTTTTTTAGGCCATGGCAAATAAATAAAAGAATACTCTGAAAATCTCTATGAATCTTTTTAAGATTGTTTCTGTTGCCAACGAAAAATGTTTAGGCTGAAACAGAGAAAACTTATTTACAACAGATTTTTTTAAACTAGGAGTAGTGCGTGACGTAGTAGTGCGTGACGTAGGCTTCGAATTCCTGCATATTGAATTTTGACCGAGGATCAGAAACACTTTTGGTGGGAACCCATTTTTGTTCTTGTACATTACTTTAGTTTACCTCTCAGGAGTATGCTAATTGAATGAAAGAAGTTTTGGAAATCATGAAAACCCATTGTGTGCTTAGATCGAAATAATTCAAACCAAAACAACAGAGGAATGAAATGAGTCAACAGTCATGCACTGTCATCAGATGTTTTTATCAGTTTTAAAATTTTTTGAATGAAAGAGTGTAGCAGCTATTATTTGAAAGAAATGAAGAAGAGCTATTCTTACTGTTGCCTGCTATTGGTTGTGGGTAAAAAAAGACTATATTTTGCTGTTAAATAAATAACGCCATCACCAAATAAACATCTTACAGCAACAAAAATCGACAATGGTTTTTCCATTCCAATAGATTATTCTCCCTATTGCCCTTGAAAAACCCACTTTGGAAACACACTAGTTTTGGAAAGAGTCTGGCGGTATGGAGAAATTTAGCTGCAACTCAAATATTTCTCTCTGTTTCACCCATCTAAATGCAACGCATTTTTTGTTTGGATTACGTATCTCCAAAATAAAATGGGGAAAGGATATCAGTGACACATTGCTTTCTTTTTTCTTTAAAAGGAATAAGCCTGACAATTTCCAATTCTACATATCCAAGACTACTTGCGCAAGGGGATGCAAGTTATCCAAGCATGAAAGAATTTTATCATATTCCATCTTTGGCACTCTTCGCTGCCGCCGTTTTCATCTGTAGCTTGCTCGTAAACTTACATCCTGCTTCACAAGAAGCTGTTATTGGGAATAATTTGATGTAGTTTGACTTATTTGGCTATTTCTTTGTATTTTTTCTCTGTTGAACTTCAGTTTAATCGAACCCTGTCGCAAATTAACGTATTTATGTAAATAATCATCAAAAAGAAATGCTAGTCACGTCTCTTACAACAATGCAAGCCCATCCTGTAGTTCGTGCAAGAGCGAAAAAACAAAGAAAACATATTTGGTAAACACACTTTTCGAAAAGAAATGAAGTTCACTAACAATTTGAACCTGAGAAAACTTCAGATATGTGACATTTATTGCCTAAAAAGCCATGTGCAAAAAATACTAAATTCTGAATTTTTGGTCGTAATGGCAGCCGTTCAAAAAAAAGTTGAGCTTGAACTTTCTTTGGAGAAGAGTACGTTTCCTCACAGATGTGATTATTAACTGTGCGATGTAGGACTATTAAGTCTAAAAGCCAGTCAAACACGACTATTAATGAGTTTGTATGTGAGTAATAGTTGTACTTACCACGATTATTAATCGTGGTAGAAGACGCTTTCAGACTATTAATCAGAAGAGATGCCATTTGCAATTAGTAGTCTTACTTTAAGAACTTTTAAGCTAAATAATCGTAAAATTTTCACTCTGGAAATTAAGAAACATTCTGGATATTAATAAACACCTGTTATATGCTTTTGACTTAAAACAGTGCACATATTTACAGACACAACAGAACAATCATTTTCTCTAGGTGAAACTTGA